AGATAGTTGCTTGCAATCGAGATCTAACGGTCGACTCCTACCATAACCGGGATTAGACAAGCGACCTCGACTAAGAATAAATAGCTAATAATCTAGTCCCAATCGACGCTAGTGGTCCTTTTCTAATTGGTGCTAGCGATTTGGTCACAACTAAAGTTATCAAACCCAGTCATGGTGGGATCTAGCCATTCAGTCTCGATTGTAAGTGGCAATGGAATCCTAGTCAGTGCAAACTGTCTTATCTTAGTCAGTGCTAGCAGTCTTATCTTGGTCAATGTCAGAAGTCAGGTCCTAGTGAAAATCTGTCGTTCAATCCCAATCATCACCTACACTCTAGTTTTGATTAATGTTGGCAACCTATCTCCTTTGGCACTAGCAGTTAAGCCCTAGTTGGTGCTAATGATCCAGTCTCAATAGAAGTTGACCTTTTAGTCCTAGTCATTGCTAGCAGTATAGTCTTAGTAAAGGGCTATCGTTCAATCCTGGTAGGCATTGGTGGTCCAATCCTAATGGAAGTCGGCCATCCAAACTACTACCTTTGACTAGGATTGGAGCCACAAAAGTTGTATGAGTTACTTTTAAATTCAAACATAAAATTTAAAATTTAAAGTTACACTTAAGATCTAAACAAAGGATTTTAATATTATAATTTAAATTTTTTTATATCATCCAAATAAAGAATTTAGAATATATAAATTTCAAATTTGAGATTGTAGATATGAAATTTCAAATCCAAATTTCCAACCCAAATTTGCCCATCCAAATGCAACCTATGCCCCTTAAGTAATTTTCCTTAGGCTCTAAAATTTCTTCACATGGCCCTGCCCCACCATCATCCTACATCTCATAATTTGTTTATTCTATGAGTTGTAGAAGGTCTGCCAATTATTGGGTCTTAATTTGTTGAAAATTGACAGACATACTTTTTTGAGCATTTTTTGATATGTTATTACAAAGGAAGAATGACAAAGAGGTTCCAAAAGGATTAATTAATTTAACTTAAGTCCCAAGTGTCAAATTTCAGGAATTTGCAAATTCGATTCTTAATTTTGTAACTTCGTTGCGATAAATTTACAACTTGTATTTCAAATTTTAACAGAGAAAACAAATTTGTTTATTATTCAACTATGTTAAAATTTGAAAAAAAAAATTGCAAATTCATCACAGCAAATTTATAAAATTGAGAACTAAACTTGTAAATTTCAAAAATTTGGCACTTGAGGCTTAAGTTGAATTAATTAGTTCTTTTGGAACCTCTCTATCATTCTCCCTATTACAAATCATTTTGGGACAGTTTATTTGTTCTTCCCTAGAACTTGCTTCCCATTTTCTGGACAAGAGTAGAGTCGTCCTCAAATAACAAGATCTCATTTATCCGAACCTTAAACGGATCTCCATACTTGCATGCATAGTTTTCTCAATATTCTCCCACACTGCTAGCTAGCTGTTTCCACGAAACATGGTTAAGCATCGATTTGCGATTACATTAAATCAAGTTTTACAAGTTGTCAGCAGCCTTGATTTAGATTTTTGGCAATAATACTCACGTGCAGTGTTAGTAAACGGTATTTTAATGTCGTTTGCAACTTTGAGGTATGGTCCGTGATTTTGATTGAATATATCTTTTCGTATTCAATGCATGATAGCTGGAGTTAGGTTATTATGTTGGTTACTTGATGTTTTCTTTGGTTGGGAGCGAAACAATAATTATTCAATAAAAAAAGGAAAAAACAAAATTGTGTTTAATGCAACGGACATCATGCTACATGTCGTTAATATAATTTTAATTCTTTTTGTCAGAAGTTTTGTCACATATTGGATGAGATTGTGAACGGTTGTCTTTGGTAATTATTAAGATACGTAACATTGGTTTAAGTTACCTTTAATTTGCCTTTCAAACAAAAAAATTATCAACTTGTAATTAAATTAAACCTTAATTCACTACCCAAAAAAAAAAACTTTTGGCAATGATTGTCATTGCTAAAAGTTTTTAGCAGCGAAAGATCATCACTAAAGTCACCACTAAAAGGTCATCACTATAACAATCATTACTAATATTTTTTTGTAGTGACAAATATTGTCACTACCAAAAGAATACTTTTAGCCAAAAGTTTAATTTTAGTGGCAACAAATGTAGCCACCAAAATATTTTTTTATAAAAAATAATAATTTATTTTATGCCACGTAACTTTGCCACATGTGCATCACATGAAGCCACCTCATGCCACATTACCTTCTATGTATATGGCAAATGATGCTATGTCACTTGTCATTTTGTGCCATATCACAGGCCATGTGTTCAAGAAATGATACCACATCACCCTGTCACTTCGTGCCATGTCACACGCCCTGTGGGTACCTTTTTAAACAACCTCATGCACCATGTCATCACTACCCACCACGTCACTTGTCATATGCATGCCTCCTCAAGCCACTTCATGTGCTTTGGCACTACCACGCTTCAAGTCATATATTTATTACAAAATATATCAAAGTCAAAGTTTGAACCCTTAACTTCCTACCTCTAAGCCTTAAACCTCTCTTCTTTGACAGTCGAACTGAAATGTACCTATAGTTATTATATGTGGAATGAAATATATGTTATTTAATAATATACACATATATCAAATAATATATTATTAAAAAAATATACATATATTATTTTTTATTTTCAAGTATTAATATGATAAAATAATTTATATGAGTATTTAAATTATATTTTTAATAAAATATCTTTTTTACCAATAAATATTATTTTTGTTAGGAAAATGAACTTAAAATAAACAAATTTTATATTAAATAATATACTTATATACATTGTAACCAATTTTTAAATTTTATTTTTATTTTTTAAATGAAAATTATTAGGTATATAATTTATTTATAAATATGTATTATATTGGTTTATGTCAAATATCTTTTACTTTTTTCTTCTCTATATTTTTCTCAAAAATTAATCAACTAAATGATTAAAATTTTCTCTTCTCTCAAAATGGCTAAATGTTTCCCCTCTTTTATTAAAAATATATTTTATCTACAATTTTTCAATATCTTAAAAAAGTATTTTAATAAAAAACTAATTTCAACCACATAAATTTTGTTAATAGTCATTTTAAATAATGTTGAATTTTTAATGAATACTAATAATTTTATAATACAAGATAATTATAAGAATCTCATATGTGATTAATCTAGTTAACATCTAATCATTTTCTACCTCATAGCAAGGTAGATTTTGTTAATTATTCATATTTTCTTAGTAATAATTAGTTATAAAAATGTTATTAGTAACTTTTTTTTATAATAATGGAAACCTTAATACACTAGGCAAAAACACATGAAGTTCTCGTCCAAAAGCCATTAGAGCTCAACAGAAGAAGTGGATACCATGTGTAAACCAAGCTAAGCATCAAGTGTTCAATATGCCAAGTAGTCAACAATTTTATAAATATATTTTTCATTATTTTATTTAATTTTAAATTTTCAAAATAATTCATAAGAAATTTTTAATAATTTAAATGATAATTTTATAAATTATTTTATATAATTTAAATTTATATTTAATTTTTAAAAATACTTTTAGTGAAAATAAATATTGTCACCAAAAGTATTGGCTATGATATAGTTCACTTTTGATAGCAACTACTAAAGGTTGTTGTTAAAAAAGTTACCGCCTAAAGTTCACTTAAATGTGACTGTCAAAAGTATATTTTTTATGGCAGCTTTTGGTGGTGATATTCTTTGTGAGAACATATAGTTTAATTACCGACTAAGTGATTTTCATAATGGCTGTTATTGTGCAAATAAACAGAAAATGTTTTTATAATACGCTATATTTAATTAATTATATCCCGCTGTTATTTTTCTATTCGTAGTTTCTGTATAAATGGACAATTATTTTTCCTTCTTACTGTCCCTTAATAATTTGATAAAACAAGAATCATCATATATGATAATTTAGCTAGATCAAATAGATAGACCTCTTCAGGTATGATTATTTTATTTAATTTTATATTTAGATTAATATATAATTAAGTTCAAAAGAAATAAAAAAATCTGGTAATATATGTTTACATGTGCATCAACTATTAAACGTAGAACACAATTTTGTCTATTTTATTATTTTTAATGGTATTTAATTTAAGAGTAAAATACCCTAACCTCCCATATGTTTTACCTTAACTATAGTTACCTCCATTCTATTTTTGAAACCTATACAAACCTCTACCAATATAAATAGTTGCAAACTACAAACATTCCTTAATGACTTTTGTTTTTAATATCTCATTTCTATCCATCCAACTAATAATTAATTGTTAAGTTACATGTGTTAGACTAAAATACCCTTCTTTAAATAAAAATTTTGTCAACAAATTATTCAAATTATCAAAAAAATTAATGCATATATTTTTTTACTTTTTTATTTATATTTAAATTTTTTATGTAAACATATTAATTAAGTAATTTTAAAAATAATTAAATACATAGATTTTCTAAAAAAAATTCAAACATGCAATTAAAATATAATGAAATAAATATTCAATTTACTAAATTACTTAATATAATTTATATTTATTTTTTTAAAAATCTCATTAATTTTAACACAACATTTTTAAATTATTTATCTAAATACTGACATATTAATTATTTAAATTTTTTAAATTCTGGGGAGAGTAGATAATTAGATCATTAGGGAAAATTAATAATTTTAAAATTTTTAATATAATTATAAATAAAAGTAAGTATTTTACAATTCTTAATATAATATTCTTAACAGTGTTAAAATTAAACTAAAGTATAGGTTTTGAAAACAAAGACATGTAACCTTGGCAAAATGGAAAGGACTAAGGTCATTCTACTTTACTCTTATTTAATTGTTTTCAAATCAACCTATCAATAATTGTTCACCATTTTTCAGCTAGACTAGAGAGAGAGAGAAAGAGAGAGAGAGGAGAGGCGGGGAGAGAGATGTTTCTCGTACGAAAGAAAATAAACAAGACTTTGATGACGGAAAGCAACCATTAATTTCTTCTATATAGTAACTTGGTATTTTCAAATGATATATGCTCAGGCCAAAAAAAAAAAAATGATACATGCACTGTACATTATGCAGACCCTTTATTAGGTATCGACAACCTTGCTTTCAGATTCCGAGCACCCCACGTGCATGAATCAATAAGACAATAACGTTGTTTCATTCCTAAATTTGATCTCAGCTGTTCGTGTGATGATCAAACACTCTGTGAAGAAGATCATGCCTCCTCTTAATACAAAAAGGTGCTGTCATTTTACTGATACACACGCAATGCTTCGCATCCCGCTGAGATTTAAAATTGCTCAACACATTGATCAACAAGATACACTTAAAAAGTGCAAATTAAATCCAAAAAAGAAAAGCACGAAGTGCAGAATTCGGACTCATTATTCATTCTAGGCATGACACGAAGCATCTTGCTCTTCCAATTCTATGCCTTCCTCAGCGAGCCTCTTTTCCTTGTACACATACCCTTGTGCACAAAACAAGTATATCACAAAATTCAAAGCACTCAAAATAGCCAAAAGCCAATAGAAGTTATAGAGCTTCCCTTGGTTCAGATTATCAGCTAGCCATGGCTTCGCGTGACCTGTCAGCTTGTGAACTATCGTCACCAACAGTGAGCTCCCAAAAAACCCTAATGACAGTGTGCTTAAGAACAGCCCTGTGCTCATCGTCTTCATTCCTTTCGGACATTCTCTTAGGAAAAAATCTAACTGTCCTATGTACGTAAATGCCTCCCCTGACCCTACTAGCAGAAACTGAGGTATCAACCAGAAAACACTTAACGGAATCTGGGCATTCGGGTTATTTGTCAACCCGTTTGATTTTCCGGATCTTAGCCTTTTGATCTCTGTGAGTGCTGCTGCGACCATGGCCAGAGTTGAAAGCACCAAACCGACCCCAATGCGTTGCAATGGGGTCATTCCTTGAGGGTTCTTGAGGAGTTTTCTGGTAATAGGGACTACGATTTTGTCGTAGATTGGGACCGTCAAGAGGATGCTTCCGACAAAGAAGACGGTGAGTGAAGCCGGCGGAATCTTGAAGGATTTTCCGACATGGAGGTCCATCGTGGTTGCTTGTGACACTGAGAAGGTGGTCATTTGTGCGTAGACTGTCCAAAAGATGATGGTAGTGGCCCATATGGGTAACATTCTAATTATAAGTTTTACTTCTTCAACATCAGTTAGGGTTAATAGATACCACTTTCTCTCTCTCGTTGATTCTGCAGGCATTTCTGGGTTCTTTATTGCTGCCTTATCCAAGAAGCTGCTCATCAAAAAGGAACCCAAAAAAAAAAAAAAAAAAGTTATATATACTCGAAAACATGTAAGATACATGTTAACTGACAATATATATTAAAAATAAAAATTATATAGACATATAATGTTTTCATATATACAGTGAAACAGCACCATATTTTAACTCAAAATTTTAATATTAAATTTATGAGCTCTTGTTTATTATATATTAATTATTAAACTTAACTTTATCTGATTTGAGACTTTTGGTACTAATTCAAGTCTCCTTTTCTAAACTAGCTAGACACGTTAAACTCTTTATTTGTATCCAAATATACATCAAATCAAAATGAATAAATTTTGTAATTATACTAAACAAGTGGATGATGGAAGTGGGAAGTCTCACAACTTGCTTCGCGCAAGACAAATGATGCGTGAAAAAATCTTCCCTGCCTATTCCTGACTTTTATTTTTGAATATGATTTTTCACTACCGACTGTTTTTCCACCTCTTTAATCAATGCAAGATTCCACAAAATGATTCAACATGATGAAGAAGTGGATCAGTATGGCTTAATATTCCAATATTATTTTGTCCTTATTGTGGTGTGCTCATACATTGAACAACAAGCCAAAGCGACTTGATAGCCATTTAAGCTTGTGATTCAAAGTGAAGTTTCATATTATTCAGCATATGGAGGCCCACCCTTCAAATAAGGGATTTGGATCAAGTGAATGGTATAAATCTACTCACTCAACGATTATCCCATATAATATGATAATAATTATTTGATTTAATCAAACAATTGTTAGAGATTTTATCATTTAATATTCAAAAAGTATCAAATTTCAATTTTTCTTTGGAAGGAACAACATATGTGATTAAGTGTTCTAATTATGAGGGTTGTTTTGAATTGAAGGAAAAAAGTGAGTTGGTAAATTTAGATTACTCACCAGATTCAAATTCTTAAATAATTAAGCTAATTATTTCCACGAAACCTACCTGTTATCATCTTGATACATCCATTTCAACCACCTAACAACCTAATTACCTAAACCTTTGGAAAACTCACTCTATATACACTTCATATTCCTTGCTTATATACATACTCAACCATTTATGCTTTCACGAAATTAAACCTCACGAGTTTTAATTTGATCATTGAAAGATTATACGTGTAAAGTTAGCTTCTTATTAAATAAAAGGAGAAATAATTTTTCACCATATGGTCCCAAAACTACAAAAGAATCAGAAGTAATTGATTAAGAGAAAAGGGAAAGTTGACCACTTGTTCAAGATTGATAAGGACTATAAAGGAGACAGAGAGATATTCTTCACCTCCCGCCCCCTTTGTTTTTTATTTTGAGATTTGGCAAACAAATTCCTCCACCACATGCCACATATAATTAGTCTTTTACTAGGGAAGGTACATGTGAACTGGTTTGGTTTCAGTGCCTAGTGATCAGCGTCTTCATCGTAATGATAATATCTAGACTATTTAAATTTAATTTAATGGTTCAGATTTAAAAATTTTAAATACTAAATTTATTTTTTAATAGAATGACAGTTAAAAAAATCATCTTAATTTTTAATTCTGTATCTATTAAAATAAAAATTTAGAAAGAAATAAAAATAATTAATATGAAATTTGGACTGTCTATATTTGATTTATAGTATTCATATTAGTACTGAAACCAAACCCATATAAAACCATGACATTCTCATGCTCATGTATTTTGGGGAAGAAGGAAGTGATTGAGAAATTTAGAGAGTGAAAATTTTACTAAATAAATATACTTGTTTTTTAGCACTTGAATCTTATTGAAATATATAAAGAAGATTGAATGAATAAAACGAAAGTTACGTGAAAAGTTAAAAACTGTTATTTTGATTTTATAATTTATATTACTATTTATTTTATTTCTGTTATGTTAATTTACTTAAGAAAATTTATATTTTATATTGATATATTTTTTTTCTTTTGTTAAAAGTAAAAAACTGAAGTGGGAAGGAACCAGAGGATGAGGACAAAATCCCTTGACCCTTTACATTAAATAAACCGGACACGTAAACTAGCTAGAAGTCTTAACTCAATGGATTAACGATAAGAAAGAGAAAATTAATTCAACTGAAGAAAAAAAGAAAGAAAGAAAGAAAATACTTAAATTTAATAGAAATGACTAGTCCTTTAAATTTATGATGAATTAAAATTTAAATTTTTATTAAAAAAAGTGATTACCTTTAATATCACCATATCTTAATCCGGACTTAACATATACTATAGATACACGCGCGCTCAATGAAAAAAAAAAAAAACGAATAAAATTTTATTAATTAAAACAAGAAATAAGGTAAAGATGTGTTACCGGAACTCTTTGCTATGAGGCAACCTCTGCTTCCTCTTCCTCTCTCCGTCGTCTGCAATATCATCCAAATTAAACAGCAACGACGGCTCCGACGGCAACTCCATGTGTCTCTTCCTCCAAGCTGCGACGAACACAGTCGCGATCTGGGTTAACGGACTACCCACCAGTTTCTTGAACCGGTACTTCCTAGTTCCCGACAAGAACACGAGAAGAGCAATCACGATGGCGGAAGCACAAATCCCATATCCCCATTCTCTTCCGACGTTGTCTTGAATGTAAACAAGAACCGTCACTGCGGCCAGCGATCCTATGCTTATGAAGAAGAAGAACCAGTTGAAGAACTTTAGCATCTGCTTCTTCTCCGCTTTGTCTGCGTCGTCGAACTGGTCCGACCCGAACCCGGATACGCTTGACTTCAGACCACCAGTTCCGAGGGCGGTGACGTAGAGAGCTAAATAGAGAACCGTCAATTGCATGTCATTGGCTGGGACACATGATGAGGCATCTGTGTTTGGGTTGCATTTTGGAGGATGTAGACTTGGGATTGCTGTTGATATCGCCAAGATTGTAACACCCTGAAATATTCAATATATAATCCAGTGACTGTATATTCACCTAAACTATAAAAGAATATTAGTCATATATTCCAACCAAGCCAGATTTTTGCTACTCGCTGAATATTAGTCACCTAAACTCGCATGAACCTCTATATAGCATGCCAAATTTGGAATTTTTTGACGGAAAAAAAAAAAAACACTTATTGCGATCATTTGTCGTAAAGATACCGTGTTCTTTTGATGAATGGAAAAAGTGTCGCTGGACTAAACATTGAGATATTTCTGGCGAGTACGTGTCGGATCGACGTTAATCACCAGATCAGTTTAATGTCGTTGTACTAACTTAGTCTCCACGATGTCGAATTATTTTCCGATGAAATAATCAAATCTTCATACATAGAAGTACTAAGTTAACCATGTTAAAGATAGAGCTCTTACAGTTGCTTGGACAGTTGCGAAAATGGCGATTGTGAGGTATCTGTGAAAGAAGGGATTGAATTAAATAATCAATAATCGCTATATGTTAAATATATATATATATATATATAGGAACAGCGACAATTTTTTTTTTTTTAAGCATCAGTTGAATCTGGGGATATTCTAGTCAAACCTGCCGAGAAATGTGTCGGCCACAAAACCACCGAGCAGACACAACATGAAAGAGGTTCCCATGAAGTTGGTGACTATGTTAGCAGATGAAGCATTTCCCAAATGCATCGTTCCCGTCAAATATGTCACCAAATTCACAGCAATCCCCAGCGTTGTCAACCTCTCGCATGCCTCTCCACCTACATATTTCAGATCACCACCACAACAAAAAAACCAGACAACCTAGTTAAGTATCTTTTGTGTGTGTGTGTGTGTGTGTGTGTGACTGAAAAAACCAAAAAGCTTGAGATAGAAAGTACCTAGAATCATGGCGGCTGAAGTCCAACCACCAGTTTTGGATCTAAATGCAGGACGACCCTTGAAATCCCAGGCATCTGGGATGGTATCAGACATTGTCTGAGGAAGAGAACCCATTATGGAGTACTAAGATTTATGTCGGAGGTGTACAAGAAGAACGAAAGTGATGATGATTGAGGTGGTATATGGCACAAGGGATCTGAGGTCTTGAGGCCCTATATATATACAAGAAAGCGAGAGAAAAGTTGGATTTTAAAAATGGTTCTTAATTAATTATAGCTTTACCAGCCTTACCGTTTGAATTATTGTATAAATTAATGAATAAATATAATATGGTTATGATCATGAATCACTTGGGGTTATGGCAGATTAATGACATGCGGCCATGGATTGGCTGATTTTGAATGATTAAGCTGATCGATCATATGGATTTTAGACTAGATAAAGTTAATTTTATTGTGGTCATCCTTCACAAAAATCTGTTTTTCAATTTGAGTTTCTTATAAAATTGTCTTCCCATTTAATTTCTCATAGATAAGACATTCTTCAAATGGGTCCTTTATAAAAGTGTCTTCCAATTTTGCCCCCATATAGATTGCTAATTCATAATTTAGCCTCTATTATCAATTTGATAAAACACGTGTGAAGAAATATTAATTATTATAAATGAATGATTTTAACTTTGAGAGAGTAAAAATTGGTGAGAAACCATAATATCTAAATTACCAAATTGATAAGGTAATTTTATGAAAGCCTGAATTGAAAAATACTTTATTTTTTATGGACTACATAAAAATTAGAATAATTGAACAAGTAATTATAGGATTTCATAAAAAATCTAGGAAGAACTAAAGTATTAAATAGAGCCCCCCTGCTTCATAATAAAAATAAATTAAGAATAGTTAAAATGATGTACAAAATAGAAAATTTAAACCCCAATATCTACACCGGTTATAGTGCCTATGGTGTAGAAATTAGAGGTGATGGTATTTTTATAAATAAATTTTTTTGAGTCAATATTTACATGGGTTGTAATATTTAACTAGTGTATATATGAAAATCTATGCCAGGTCTATTGTTAACTGGTCTAGATATGCATTGCATTTTTTAAAAAAATATTTTTTTTACATATCTACACTGATTATACATTACAACCGATGTAGATATATTATAGTTTTGTTTTTAATTTTTTTTGTTAACATATCTAAACTTGTTACAAAGAGAATCAATGTAGATATATTTATTAATGTCAATAATTTTACCATATCTACACCGGTTATGTGGGGTAATTGGTATAGATATATTTAGTTTTATTTTTTAAATTTTTTTATACTATATCTACACCAGTTATTTCTTGTAACTGGTCTGAATATGGTAGTAGAGTTTTCAAAATCTAAAAGCCCTTTTTCTTTGTTTGCCTCTTTTTGCTTGTCTCCTCCTCGCCAAATTTGAAATCCCTTTTTTTCTCTATTTGCATCATCTCACTCATTTTCTTCTCATTGTGGCCTCTCACCTCTATTTAGCTCTCCCTCTCTCAATCTCACTGTGCATCCCTTCTCTATTTGCCTCAATCTTGCTCGTCTCCTTCTTGCGGCGCCCTCTCTATTTATTGTGTGCTCATCCATTAGAGTTCAACAGTGTTTGCTTGTGGTTCAACCTATTCATCCATTATTGTCGCTGTGAGTAGTTGAAAACTTCCTCCTCATTCCTCCTCTGTCCGTGTGTCATTGTAGGTGATGTCTTCACTATGTAAGATCCTTCTTCTACTTCTATTGATGACTTCTTTCTCTTTTCCTCCTTTGTCATTGCCGATTTAAGTTTGAGGGCTTTGAGCTCTTGTGCTAGTCAAATCTATGAGTGGATATTTTAATAGTTGAAGTTGTGAAATTTTCCTCTCTTTACTGAATTTGTGCATGTGGATGAGAAATAATTGTTATAAAACTAATCCTTCCTTTCCATTTCTATGTGATTTGCAAATGTGTGGATGGTGGATGTATAAGCTACTAGATTTATTCAAGCACTAGCATTGTAGAATTGTTTGGGAAAAATTATTGGGATGAAATTTGACGAGAAGAGGCTGGTATTAAAATTTGAAATTCATATTTGCAAGGTAATTGATAAAATGCCTCTCAGGAAGGTTTGCTTGATTATGCACCAATAATTCTGTTAATCCCACAAGAAGCATGAACTAGCTTAGGTATTTTTTTTATTTTATAAATCTGAACTAAGTTTTTGTGAAAGAATTTATTTAAAAAGTTGTTGAGATTATAAGTGAAGTTTCAATTCTTGAAAGTTATATGGTTGATAATTTATAAGGTATAATATCATTTTAGAAGTTATATTTGGATACTTGAAAATTGTTAAAAATTATTGTGAATTAAAAATTACTACAAGAAAATGGGTTGTGCCTATATATATTCTATTAGGCTAGCTTATTTCTTGTGAATTAAATTGTTGTGACATCATTACTAGTTTTAGTTTATGTACATTGGCGAAGTGCTAATAGAGGCCTAAGGCCATTAGGCATTGCATACGACTTTGTTTTGTTTAAATAATATTATTTTCTCTTTATATTTTCAATTGTAAATTTATTGTAAAGTCCAACTTTTAAGTGAGACTATACCAAAAATTTTTAAAAATTATTGTTTTGTCCCTTTTTCTATATGGAAAGGGCCAAGAAATATAAAGTTGGCTTCTCTCCTACTTATTAGATAGGAGGGAAGCCAACTCTAAAAAATATTCTCAAAAAATTAAAAATTTCTAAATTGAATTGAAAATTATTGTGTTAGTATGCTTGTTTCTTATTTTTTAATATATAACTTGTTGTTTGGCCCTATCCTAATAATTTAGTGATAATTCATGAACTCTGTCATATTTTAAGAAGACAAAGTAACAATGGATTGTGGTTGGATTGATGTCAAATAAACGAGCCTAGAGTATGCTAATAGGGTTAAAGGGTTTTTAGAGTTTGCTTAAAGCAATACTGAAGATGATAGTGGAAGGTTTTATTGTCCTTGTAGGGATTGTTTGAATGAGAGGCAGTTAAGTGTAGATAAGATATACGACATTTAATTTATGAGGGGTTTCTCAAGGGTTATAGAGTATAAATATGGCATGGTGAAACGTTGAATATGCCGATGTTGAGTACATCTTAATCTCAGGATGATGATGTTGTTGTTGACGATGATGATAATATGGTTGATTGGTTGGAGGACATGATCTGTGATGTGGGTAAAGAGACTTTTGAACAATCTTAAGCCTATAATAATATGTGTAGTAATATAGAGACATCTTTGTATTTGGAATGCAAGGAATTTAGTCTATTGAAAGCAGTGTTAGAATTGGTGAACTTGATACCTAGATCCGGGTAGAGTGACAAGAGTTTACATAAATGCTTGAGTTGTTTAAATTGATGCTTCCAAAAGAAAATGTGTAACTAGTTCATTATTATGAGGTAAAGAAATTGCATGCCCATTAGGCATAGAGTTCAAGAAAATACATGCATGTTGTAACATAGAAATTTAAATCTGACTAGTTAAGCCTAATAAAGGTAATTAAGTGAATTAATGTGGTATATGGCTAGAGAGGTTTGATTTGTGTAATTGATTATGATTTAAATCCTGAATGTAGGTCTGGAGTGAAGTCAAGCTACCCAAGCATCAAAAGTGGAGGAAAAAGTGAAGAAGAGTTATCTATGCCATATACCACAACATGAGAAACATCCACTGCAGTGCATAAAGGCAACCAATATGAGCTTGGCCTCTTTATGCCATGTGCCATGATGAGATGCTACATGCACTGTAGTACATGGCTAAATTTCTGCATAATTGGGTTTATGATTGTGGAAAAAAAAAATCAAAGGAAAGGAAAAGGAGAAAATGAAAGGTACAAATTTTACTCTACGAGGACACCATTAGAGATATTTTAGAGCTTCCTAACTCTCAAGGTAAGTACATTATGTCTTTCTCTTCCCCTTTCCTTCCATTTTTATGAAGGTTAAAGCGAGGGTTTAAGTTGGGAGAGTGATTTTCAATCCCTATCAACTATAGGTCCAAACCTATTGACTTAAATGGATATAACAAGAGTGAATTAGAGTATTTAAAACCCACATTAATGATTTTGAGAGTTGATGGTTGTTGAGAGCCATTAATATCTAAAAATGGAAATAATTATGGTTGTTGGGGTTGTGTTGAAGCTATTAATAGTGGTTTAATGACTTATTTATGTCAATATAGGTTAATAAAACTTAATAAACCCATTTGGTATGATGGGTAGTGAATTTATGATTTTGGCAAAAAGGGAGAATGTGAAGTTATGATGGTGAAAATTACCAAAAATGGGGTAATAATGTTATCTTTATGATATAATTATAGATTAACCCAATTGGCATCTTTAAGATCGAGAAGAAGCTTTAGAAGTTGGTATTTTGAGGGGCAAACCTTTGACCTCTCAAAGATTTGAGGTAACAAGGAAAAATCTAGTTTGTATAGTTGTATGTTAATTAATTATTTGTTGAATAAGATTGTTTACAACTTGATGAAATCTTTAAGGTAAAAAACACTTTGTTGCAAATTTTGGCAATGTGATGGTTATGTGTGTGACTTATGCTAAGTTAGTTAGAGTAATGATATGTATGTTATTTATATGATCGATGATGATGATCTACAAGTATATTATTATGAGAATGTACTATATGCAACATTTAATATATGGAGTTTATCGGAGTGAGAAAATGATGTGAATGATATAAGGTTATAAATTTTGTTACATGATATATTAAGTGTAATGTGTTCATAACATGATCATTGGTAGGAGTTCACCTAGGGAGAGGAGTAAATTGGTAAATTCATGTGGTATTGGTGGCTTACCATTAGAATTAAAAGTTTTCCTTAGCACCAACTTGGAATCAAGAGGTAGCCATTATTCTATGGTTAATTCAGGACTATCCCACTTGTTCTTTGAGGGACTTGAACCTAACTAATCTCTATCGATTTATAAGGAGTGTAAGGTCCCTAAGCATTTTAGACTTTACCATTCCTAATCACACAGTCAACAACACAAGAATAATAATATATCAGAGTAATGGCCCTTTATTTATTTTTGAAATGTGAGATCCCAACTTCATAAAATATATAATCAAATAAGAGGACTAACTAAAGCACAATACAATCATA